AGAAAAATCACTAGGCCATCAGGGTGGGTGGAGGGGGTCAGGAGGACGGGACTGAGCTGACCGCCCAGAGGCACAGCAGAGGACCAGGAAGGGATCTCGGGCGGACGGCCTGGGGGCAAGGCAGAGTTAAAAAAGGGGGATTCGGGCGGACGGCCCGGGGGCAAGGCAGAGTCTAAGGTGGGGGACTCGGGCGGCCGAGCATGAAGGCGAAGGCAGCGGCAGGAAGAGTCAGGGGGCCGGGATCGCGGGCGAAGACCACGGCTCACAGAGGCCCGGGATCGAGGGCGAAGACCGCGGCTCTCAGGGGGCTGGGCTCGAGGGCGAAGACCACGGCTCACAGAGGGCCGGGATCGAGGGCGAAGACCGCGGCTCTCAGGGGGCCGGGCTCGAGGGCGAAGACCAGAGAGCTGACGGGCCAGCGCCGGAGGCCGGGCAGGACCCGGTGTCGGCCGGACAGGAACCGGAGCTGGTGGGATAGGCCTCGGCAGGATCCCCCACGGAAGAGGACCAGGACACGGGATTGGCAGGACCCCCGGCGAGACAGAGGATGGCGGGGCCTCCAACGGAACAGGACAAAGGGTTGGCAGGACCCCCGGCAGGAGAGTAGACAGCGGGACCTCCAACGGGACAGGACATAGGGTTGGCAGGACCCCCAGCAGGAGAGTAGTCGGCGGGGCCTCCAACGGCACAGGACAAAGGGTTGGCAGGACCCCCCGGCAGGAGAGTAGTCGGCGGGGCCTCCAACGGCACAGGACAAAGGGTTGGCAGGACCCCCGGCAGGAGAGTAGTCGGCGGGGCCTCCAACGGCACAGGACAAAGGGTTGGCAGGACCCCCGGCAGGAGAGTAGTCGGCGGGGCCTCCAACGGCACAGGGACAAAGGGTTGGCAGGACCCCCGGCAGGAGAGTAGTCGGCGGGGCCTCCAATGGCACAGGACAAAGGGTTGGCAGGACCCCCGGCAGGAGAGTAGTCGGTGGGGCCTCCAACGGCACAGGACAAAGGGTTGGCAGGACCCCCGGCAGGAGAGTAGAGGGCGGGACCTCCAACGAGACAGGATAAAGGGTTGGCAGGACCCCCGGCAGGAGAGTAGATGGCGGGACCTCCAACGAGTCAGGATAAAGGGTTGGCAGGACCCCCGGCAGGAGAGTAGTCGGCACGACCTCCAACGAGACAGGACAAGGAGCTGGCAGGACCCCCGGCAGGAGAGTAGACGGCGGGGCCTCCAACGGCACAGGACAAAGGGTTGGCAGGACCCCCGGCAGGAGAGTAGTCGGCACGACCTCCAACGAGACAGGACAAGGAGCTGGCAGGACCCCCGGCAGGAGAGTAGACGGCGGGACCTCCAACGGGACAGACATACGATTGGTAGGACCCCCGGCAGAGGAGTAGTCGACGGGGCCTCCAACGGGACAGGACATGGAGTTGGCAGGACCCCCAGCGGAACCTCCAACGGACCAGGACATTGGGTAGGGACTTGAGACGTGACTCGAGAGGGGACTCGAGAGGAGACTCGAGAGGAGACTCGAGAGGGGAACCAAGGGGGAACTTGAGAGGGGACTCGAGAGGAGACTCGAGAGGGGAACTAGAGAGGGTACTCGAGAGGGGACTAGAGGAGAGACTAGAGGAGAGAGGAGGGACTAGAGGAGGGACTAGAGAAGGGACTAGAGAAGGAACTAGAGAAGGGGACTCGCGAGGGGAACTAGAGGAGGGACTAGAGAGGGAACTAGAGAGGGGACTAAAGGAGGGACTAGAGAGGGGACTAAAGGAGGGACTAGAGGAGGGAACTCGAGAGGGGACTCGGGTAGGAACTTGAGAGGTGACTAGAGAGGGGACTCGAGAAGGGACTCCTGAATACTCCGTGGACCTCCATAAGCCTGACGAGTTCCGGAATACGACTCCTGGACAGGAGCAGGAACTGGGGCAGAAGCACGGGTTGACTTCAAGCGGAACCCACCAAGGCGTATGGTGCCAGGTTGGGAATTGGGAGACAGGGAGCTAGCATGCCTGGAATCACATGCTTGAAGGAAGTCCAAAATCCAGTCAGGTAAAAACTCAACAAAACATGGTTTCTCTGCTGCCAACCGGAGCGCCTCTACCAGAGCGGCCCTCTTCTGCCGTACACTGGACGCTCTCTTCCACCAATCGAAGCAGCAAGCCAGATAGAAAGTTAAATGCTGTAATTCAACCTCCCATGGATCATCTGCTGGGTCCATTTTGTGGTCGGTTCGTTCTGTCACAGTAGAGCGAAGGAAGCAGGACCCAAATGCAGATTAAACTGATAATACCTTTATTTCAAGGATAATGAAAATAGAACTTGGACAGACAGAACACTCACCGGTGAACACAGTCAACAACAAAAGAAGAACCGATAAAGACAGACAGAAAAACCAGAACTTAAATACACACAAGACTAATCACACAAACAAGACACAGGTGAGGAGGGAGGAGAAAACACAGGGGCCACAGGTGAACACAATCGGGTAATCAGACACACCAGGGAAACTAACGACAGGGAACCACAGACAGATCCAAACAAGACAAAACACCACAAAGACAGATCGTGACACAATTCTTATTATTATTATTATTGAAACATGGCCGGTAAGTTTCAAATTTGTCCGGTAAAATAAATTCTGTCCGGACATTTGACCGGATAGAAAAAATCCTAGCGGAAACCCTGCTGTGAATGTCTTTCATTTTATTTAAAATGAAATACAATTACATAAAAGACACACGTTTATGACTCGCGCATGCGCAATGCAAATTGGGCACCTGTTTAAGCCCGAGAGACCCCTGTACCGGGGGCCTCCTGCAACATCTTGCAGGAAACAGTGTCTGAGGGCATGTTCATTTAATAAACTATGAATGTTTTATATCCATGTAACGGAAAGAAACTCATCTAACTGATCTTTTTTTCTTTTCTTTTTTTTTTTAAAAACACAATGCTAATGCTGAGCCTCTGAATTAGCAACGAGCGAAAAATGCTAACAGATGACTGCACCGAAATTCACTTACAAAACCTTATTATTTATCTTTGCTGCACATCTCAACCCATAGTTTCACATCGTGAGGAGACACAGAATCGAGGGGTACCCTTCATTATCACTCAATTATACGAACTCTCGGAGATAATAACAAGAACACACATCAAAACATATGGAGCTAGGTAGCTAAAATTGCTAACATGGCTCACCTGTGTTGTAGTCTGGTCAAAAGTGGTCTTCAATGGCATTAAAACGATAACAAAAAACGAAGCTGAAGTTAATCCATAGGTTAATCCAATGTGTCTGTGTCACTTTGAATGATTTCTGATGATCCATGAGCAATAAACCTGCTTTTCGGTTTTCAGAAGTCAGAGCTACAGACAGCTTCACTCTGGAGCAAAACTCTGGGCGCGAAGCCCCCACCTTTTTGTTTTACCATGTGTGTGTGGGGGGAGATTCCCCTTCGATTCTATTGGCTCTAACGGTTAGAAAGAGATGTCAATCACCAAAATCGACCAATGGGTTCCAGAAGAAACGGTAAAACCCCCATTTCCACCCAAATGACCTCAGAGGTGGAGTTTTTTTTGCTAAACCTCTCTAAAAAGGTAAAATGTCACTTGTTTTGCATCAATCTTGATACAGGGTACTTATTATATGTTGTACTTTGGATTCCTAAAGCTTTTAGTCTACCTTACCATCATCCAAGGGTAGTTTTCACTGTAAGTAAAACATATTTTTTGGACGGACACTATCATTTACAGTTTTTTACTATGTTCAATCTGAATTTTCTTTAAAATAAAAAAACATCTATATTGATTTCCAACTCACAGGTTTATCATTACTTTGAGAAAAAAGATTATTAATTTACCCCTTTTAGAAGGGAAGATATGGTCATTTGTTCTGGGAATGTCATTTTCGAGCCTGAGACCTGAAAAACAGGCTCAGGGCTAAACTGGTTAAGACTTGCGCATGCGCAATCCAAATTGGGCAGCCTTCTAGATGTCAAGTGTCCTATTTGGGTCAATATCACCCAGCTGCAGCCGGTACACGACACGCCCCCTACACGAAACACCCCCACACGACACGCGTGTCACGCCCCCTACAAAATATGCCCACTTGACACGACACTACGGTGGCTAAGAGACATTGATACCGTACATGGCAGGTTAAAAACGGATTGCAAATGTTATTGTAGCATTTTAAGCAACTATTAGGCAAAGAAATGAATAACCAAGTCTATCCGTTTGAGACACAACAGTATATGACTTTCAGCACAAATCATTTTGTCTAATTAATAAATGAAAACAAAAAGGTGCCTAAGTAAACTTTATTTTTTAATACAAATAAAATAGGTTTTAATTAGATCATAGGGTTAGGGCTAGGGTTAGGGACGTTAATTACCTGTACTCGGTGCGCCATATTGTCTGTTCTCTGTAAACCTCCATGTCTCTTTAAATATCCTTGCGTCAGCATCTCACGTTTTTTGCGCGCTCTCTTCTAACCATATTTGGAAGTACAACTTCCTACAGGTTCAACCTCCACCGTCTTGCTGCGGCTGCAGCTGGACCCTTCTCATTTGGTTTGCCATATGTAGCTGTCCAATATGGCGGACCATCTCACGTTTGCGCAATGCAAATCGGGCAGTTACAATAATGGTGATCACGAAGAAACTCATCTCGTCATTGGCTGTGATGTTAAATCATGTGACTGTGATGTAGGTCCTTTATAACCTAACGCTAGCTTTTCACTGGTGTGAAAGAACAGGTATTGAATGTTCACAGCTCCAAAATAGTGTATAAATACCATAGGTGTAATCGTTATTAGACATTTTAATGAGGAAATGTTACATATATATTCTAAATAAATAAACCCACCACTGGGAAAGTTGAGGAATATAAATGTCTCTGTGAACATCACATTGAACTTTTGTGTAACTTATTAGCATTTTTTTAAGAGATCTCTGTTTAAAGTGATTGTTGGTTATATAACAAGAGCATTTTCCCTGTTTATCTTCCAGGTCCATGAGGGAATATTGTTAACCATCAGGCAGTAAATGCAGCCCCGTAATCCTGCATTTGGTTCCTTTCCTTCAGTTTCTGTCCCTCAAATCTTTGGAAACAGTCAGAAAAACGGCTACGGAGAACACGAAGTACCGTTTTAAATGATGACTTTTTTTTGCTTTAATCACCCCGACTGAATTAATCACACGTGACTATTTTTCACTCATGTTCCCGGTAATACCTTCCACTCTATTTTTGCTTAACTTCTATTCATAAAAATAGTCTAAATAAACTGCAGTGAGTAACATTTCCATGAAGATATTCAGAAAATCAATACCAAGAAGCACATGATGAGGTTTTTCAGTGTCTGACAGGCTGTTGTAGTATTGTCATACTGATATTTTGTACAAACTGTAAAGTCCACTGAGACAAATGTAACATTTGTGATATTGGGCTATATAAATAAACATTGATTGATTGATTGTAGACAAAGTATGCTGCAATAGCACTGCATGTTATTATTGTTATTCCCACATGTTTTTAATGTATCTAGTTTTACATGAATTTTTGGTTGTTTTTCATAGTGCACATTTTGCTGATTGTGTTTGCTGACACCTGACTATATGGACGGAGACAACATGAAGCTTTCACTGAGGGGACTGACAAAAACAAATACCCAACACCTGGGCAGAGATAATACATTTACAATTGTGAATAATGTTTGATATCCTGATGGTAAACCCTTCTTACCTTAATGTTCGTTAATTTTGAACACACAGGTTCTTCCTTTCTCTGCATCCTGCTCTGTTTTTGTCCTTCATTGATCTATTGTTGCTGTGCTATTTCTAAAAAACAATATCGAGTGAGCTAGTAACTGGAGAGGTGCCATTTCACCTCCAAGGCCACTGCCGAGGTTCCCTTGAGCAAGACACCTAACCTCGAAACTGCTCCCTTGGCTCCGGGTACCTGGCAGCCTCTCTGCTCTGCCACCTCTCCTTTGTATAGAATAATTATGATGATGAATGCATTCTTTTACCAGTCAAATACAGCAACACATCTTTGATTCATGTCGTTTATAACTGGACTGTTACAATTATTATTAACTTTGTCTGTAGGCTACAACACAACAAAATAGGAAATAACAACACAATTTAAACAGACACAAAAATAAACCATTTGACTACTTACTTTCTTGTAGAAGTACAAATGTCCAGGAAATATGCCCAATACACAAAAACTGCGAGCCGGCTTCTGAAACGCGCCCGGTGGGGTATGACGCTGTTCGGAGGTCGGAACAAAACTTCGGCGCAGACGGACCCGGTGGAATCCCGGCGTTACAGATATACTAAAATATACTATTCACAAAAAACTAATAATCTAGCCATGGTTTACAAAAGGCATATCATATAAATGTAATACAAATGTGTGAAACATGCAAATAAAATGCTTGTGTATTTTGTGGAAACAACATGTAATGTGTTCAAAATAATATATATATTAAAAAGTGTGTATAAAATGAACAGTAGGGTAGGGTATAATAATGATAATTTGTTCGGACTTTGGGGCGAAGCGGGTCGGTTGGGACACTTCAACATAAAACAAAAAAATCTTTATTTTTCAACAACCATTTACAACATAATTTTATCTGTGAACAGATATAGGTGTCGGTTAACAATTTAGCAGGTTTTGGAGAGTCCAAATTAAGGATGAAAGGCACCATTTTGTGGTGAAAAGAGCGAATTTACCAAAATGCCTTCCCTGGCCTTTTGAGACACCTTGTTCTGGACCCAAACACATTATTTTAAACGCACAATATAACATTGTGTGCCACTAGGAGGCTCAAATGACTTAAGCACTGTAGTTTACAGTTTTTCTCGATTGCTAACACACTAAAATTATACATGAAGCACAATTATTTTAACTGACACTCAAAAAGCAAAACATCGACTCAAATCTCCAAAACTCTAAACACGTTTTCAGCTTTTCACACAATTTGCAAATCAACATGGCACTTTTTGCAAACCACTGCAAACGTTTCTCCAAGTAAGACACAGGAATCTGACATAAAGCCACGTGTTAGCAGGTTTAAAACACTGATCTTCAAAATGCCTCACACATGGACCAATAATCAAGAAGCACGTTCCACCTGACCAAACACCTGGTAGCATAATGGTTGGCTCGTCAATCAGGATGTTAGCACTATCAAAAGACCACAGGTGAGTACTTTCTTACAGCAACAATGGAAGCCAACATGGAAGCAAGAGGAAGAGGTGGGGTGAGAGGAAGAGGAAGAGCTGGGCTGAGAGTGAGAGGAGGAGGAAGAGGTGGGGTGAGAGGAAGAGCTGGGCTGAGAGTGAGAGGAGGAGGAAGAGGTGGGTGAGAGTGAGAGGAGGAAGAATGAGAGGTAGAGCTGGAGGGAGAGGACGTGGACAAAGAAGAATACTCTCTAATGAAATTAAATGTTATCACATGGTGTGACGATGAGAGAGGCTGGACGGAGGGTTCAGCCTAATCTAAGCCGATGTACTGTCGCCTCTGTAATCCGGACACTTAGACTTGAAAACAGGTTAGTTCCCAGTTTGTAGCTCTGCATAGTTCATGATATATCAGTGCTTATATCTGTTGTGTGAAACGTATTTACTTCATTACTGTAATTGAATTGTTGGCATGTTGCAGACTATAACTGTACAAACATCCTGCACAATGTACTGTGATAAACTTTTATGCAACACAGACACTGACCGACCACTATATCTTTGTTGTTTATCTGAAGGACTGAGAAACAAAGAGGTGGAAGGCTAAGGATTTCTAATGAGGCAGGAAGCAGCAGTTACAAACTGGGTTTTGGCAAACAATGCATCACACTTAGAGAGATCCGAAGCAGAGTAGCTATGTGCTGAGATGTTGCACAATGTTAGTTTTGAATAAAATGTGATTTTTTTCAACAACTCATTTGTATTTCTTCATTTACTGTATTTCTGTAAACTCAAGCAATCTTTCTCTGCAGAACCCTCTCTGTACAGAGCATAGCCCAGAACAGATGGAAGTGCTTTAGAGTATGCTCAGCAGTGTGTAGCTGGGTGGTCAAACAGTCTAGTGTTATGAATGAAGTGTGTTATATTTGGTGCTAAAGTTTGCATTCGGTAAGTGTTGATGTAGTTTTGAGTGCAGTTCTTCACTTAGCAGGAGAAATGAGGAGTTTTGCACTTTGGGTGTGTGGTTTTGTGAATTGTGTTTAGTGTTCTGAGAAACTGAGCAATTAAAAAAAAAGTGTGTTAGCAATCGAGAAAAACTGTAAAAGCCATGTTGCATGACTATTGCTATTACTGATCCTTTTTTATCTTCAAAGCTAGAATTTCCGGTGGTTGAGCGCCATCTACTGTGCACTATGCATATCAAATAATGTGTTTGCACAGGGAAACTTCCACAGGATAAAAAGGTGTAATTGATAGATAGCACCATATGAAAACCCATACGACAATGGATTATCAGTAATCATTTCAAAGTGACACAGATACATTTGGTTAACCAATGGATTAACCAATGGATTAACCTTCAGCAGCGTTGTATGCGTTTTAATGCCATTGAACACGACTTTTGATCAGAAGAACAGCAAAGGTAAGACTATTTAGCGTTTTTGCTCCATAAAGCTACGTCGTGTGTTGTCTGGGTTAGCTTCCCCTGTCGCGAGTTTTCGCTCAGTGATGATACTTATATATCTAGAATCTGTGGAATCTCAGCTTGCTAGTCGATATCTTCTTTGTGCAAATCCGATAAGGAATAAAGTATTTCTACCGTGAAATATGTTCTAAGTGTATTAGCATTTTCTCGCTCAGGGCTAATTTAGACTTCTGTTTTGTTTCGGTAAAAATGGTTCATATCGTCAGTTAGCTGAGTTTTCTTCCGTTA